CTCTCTTTTACGAATATCTGTTTCAAACCACCAATTTGACCATTAAAATTAGTTTAACAACAAGTACCAACTGTTTAAGGCAAAAACTACGATTTTTCAATACTTTTATGAAATTGTATTGTATATTATTTATAATGTCATAATTAGAGCAGCATAGCTCACTCGACGAGAGCATACAATTAATAAAGTAAGTTCATCTATCGCTCTTAATAAGATTTACTTTCCGGGTTCTGATGCATGACCGAATCTCATCTCATTGTATTTTCAGTTTTATGAAAAGGGAAGTTTAGATATTCAATCAATACATTACACCATAAAATTGTTCTAACGGCTTGAAGCTCGTCAACAAGTGTTTATAGTAAAACAATTAGAGTCTAATATCGTTTTAAACATACCTACTAGGTTTGATTGGAAATTACCAAACTGGAGGAAACGTCCACTCTAGTTAAGCAGTGACAACTGCCTAGCTTCCAACGGTTGTGCTGGTATTATGTTGACGAGTATTGTCTATTAATGGACAAGTCACGTGACCAGTACAAATCAAAGGTATCTTTGCGGTAGAAGTATTGCTTCTTTATTGGGTTCCTTTGTTAATGCTATTTATTAACTTAACAATTACTTGACAATTAAAGTTGCCCTAGGTGATACAAATATTGTATTCTCCACTCTTTCCTCTGCAGTCTATTTATATCGTTTACGAGGCAGTAATAAAGAAAAATGCAGTTTCTTAAAGATTTAATGCTGTATCTCACGATTTTTTTGCACCACGTTATCGGTTTTTTTTATTTGTTTTTGTTTTTCCTATAGGTTTGTAACTAGTCTCTAACAAAATTTTTATAATGCAATTTATTTGTTGTCACTTGTAAGGCTTTAAGTACACGTGGTCGGGCACCAATGAGCTTAACATATTATGTTTTTAGTAGTTGTTTCTGCTGAGCGTTGCAGTTTTTAAGTTCATAATAAGATGAAAGTAAGTTTAATTCGTTAAGAAATACCATTTTGTTTCAGTCACATGATCTGTTTTATGTAGTGTTTTAAATGTTCGTTTTCAGGAAATTACACCTTTCTCACAAAAGATTGGACAATAAAGTATGTATAATTCGATACATGCAAATATATACAGGTAATAACATTTGGTGAACTCATATGAAAGTGAATTTTGTAAATCCAATAACCCAAGAAATAATTTTATTTCCGTTTATGTAAATCTCCCTAATCATACTAGATTAAGAATTCATCTTCCTTGAGAAACGATCTTTGGCGTTGGTTTCGGAACCTGCTATGTAAATAAAAACCAAGAATAATGAAATAATTTTCCTGAATCCACACTAATCACTGTGTTTGCATTTCAGTACTCATATTATTTCCAAAGCTTTTATCAGTAAAAAAGTCTCAAAACTGATAATTGAAGTAATAAATGAAAATTTTGTAGTAGAAAAATAAGAAGTTGGAAAAAAAAAAAGAGATCAACTCATCTTACGAAAACGAACATTTTGATTAATAACTTTTTTTTTTAATATTAAATATCAGGAACCATTATTATTTTAAATGTTCGATATTCATTAAAGTGAATAAAATAAAAAGTTAAAAGAAATGAAAGCACAGTTTTTAACTGTTATGCTAATAAACTTTTTGTTCACTTTCTCTTGTCTAACGTTTAATTCATTCTTATCATATTATCAATCTCTTGATATAGTTTGAAAAGAGCTGTCTTTTCGTCCGAAGTTAATGTTTCTTTCAGTCATATCATCATTTACTTTACGTTATAATATCTGAATATTAGTTTATATGTTTGCATATTTATATCAAATTTTACATTCAGTTTAGAAAAAAATTAAATAAGTTGGATATAGTGAGATCTAATTAGTTTTAAGCTTTTACCGATTCAACTAGTAGACCAAGTCAACACTTAGCCACAGTATACGCACATGTGTGTAGCTATCTTTTGTCTGTGTGTGGGTGAGGAGGGGGGGGGTAAGGGACTAACAATGTTTTTACTATCTTGAGGTAACGTTAGCTGCTTATGTTTAATGTAAAATATGTCAGATGTAATATTAAAGTTCAAATTAGCATCTCATATCCCTAAAAATCATATAAAATATAAAATTTCGTATCCTTGTAAAGCTAAAACCTATTAATTCACTTCTTGAAGGAAATAAAATTGATTTAGTTCCAATTCTTTATAAGGAAGTTACACTAAATGAAAAGTATATGGAGAAATATTGTGTACAATTGAACTTACTTAGTACATTATGTATTTCATATATAGAAACTGACATTTTACATAATTTTCCATTCACGTTTCAGTGGAGAGGTAAAGCTGAAGTAGGTTGGTTTTCATCGACATAAAAATTACCCGGTTACATACTTAACAGTTTCCAGCTCATCATTCTAAGGTACATACAGAGTCACATATTGACACCCTCACAAATGGAGTTTTCAGTATTTGCTCCTCACAATAACCCGTAGAGAGAAAAATAAATAATTTACGATAAAAGAGATTTGTTCAATAACCAATAGTACAAACTAACTGTTCAGAAACAGATGTAAAACTTTTCTAAAAGTAATGGTTGGGGCGTTATAATGTGACGGTCAATCCCACTATTCGTTGGTAAAAGAGTAGCCCAAGAGTTGGCGGTGGGTGATGATGACTAGCTGCCTTCCCTCTAGTCTTACACTGCTAAATAAGGGACGGCTAGCGCAGATAGCCCACGTGTAGCTTTGCGCGAAGTTCAAAACAATCAATAAACCCACAATGTGATATTTCCTCTATATATAACATCAAGTAACTTGAGGAATATATCAACAACGTAACATTACATGTTTTTGGCCGTTCTACTAATTTCATGGTGAACCATCGAGAGTGCTATGAAATTGTTGGTAACTCTGCATTAAAGACGCAATATTACAACATTGTCATATATTTTCAAAATCCAACCATAACAAATATCTGAGATTGATTCAATAGAAACTTCTCATATAATTCTTATTGTGGCTGTATTTTCAAAATAAATTACAATATCTTCACAACTGGTTGCCGTTTAACATGCACCTTTTTGTAAAGTACAACTATAATAACTGTTCTGTACGGTAAAAGAGTTAGTTGTTTATAAGAGTGGGGTTACATATAATCGGTGTTATGAGCTCAAATCGAGATGAATACCCAAAATAACTTCAAACTGTCTTGGATTCAAACAAAAAATACTAATTTTTACAGCAGAAGTTCATTATGTTGAATAAACTTTTCATTCATTCTCCTATTTCATAAGCAGACTTCCAGACATCTGCAAGGCATACAGAAGCATGGAATTTATAAAAGAGCATCAACGGATGAGTTGTCTGGGTTACGATAAACCAAAGTTCACCAAAGTAGTTATTCTGTTCGATATAAGGTTCAACTATCTTGTGCTCGAATGTATTGATAATCCACATAGAGAGATTACAGATGATAAGAAAGGTGATCAGTTCTCTTCCTGGCTTCTTGTACCGCAGTTCGTTGGAGTTGCTGCAACGTCTCAAACCATCGATGATAAATATAGTCTGAACGACAACGTGAATTATAATAAGTACATGGATTCCTGTCCTGACGTAATGACCACCATGGAAGTTGGCCATGACAGAAAGAATTCCGTTCGCGAAGAAAAAGGGCAATGGAATAAACAGGAGAACGTCGTCCAGAAGCGTGATAGGATGTAAATTAATGTCTAGTTGAGTTGTCTGGCGGAAAGCGATGAGGACACAGATTAGAGATATACATGTTACTATACCTTCTTGGAAAGTATAAATACTGATACATATATTTAGGAACTTTTCCTCCCTGCTGGATACGAAGAATACAATGACGGTGATAATGCTGATGAACAGAAGAAATAGACCAGCAAACAGGCCTTTATTTGAAGCATGACAGTCAGCACTGATGAAAAAGTTACTTTGGTAAGTGATCCTCTCCATTCCTTCTTCGGTGTCGATCTTTCGACGGAAAGGATGAGGGTTAGCCTGAGAATGTTGTCGACCAATATTTTGCCAAACAATGAACCAAACACCGGCCAACAAAAGATTGTACTCAATAGTGAACGGATAAAGATACGGGATTGTCTTGAGAGTGGTTGGAGACAGAAGGACATGGTGACCATAGCAGTCGTGTGATATCAATGCGTCGTTCTCAAATACCTCACTGGTAGAATTTTTCATATCTGAAAATATACAAATACGTATAACATATATACCTGTGTAAATATAGAATATGAATAATACATTTATTAGTAGTAAAAATGTTCAATGATTTTTTTCTGTGTAACTTATTATGTTTGTATTTATAAAAAAATATTTATAATTAGGAAGTTGGTTTGTTTTGTTTGTTTGTTTTAAATTTCGCGCAAAACTACACGAGTGCTATGTGCGCTAGCCGTCCCTAATTTAGCAATGAAAGACAATAGGAAAGGCAGCTAGTCATCACCACCCACCGCCAACTCTTGGGCTACTCTTTTACCAACGAATAGTGGAATTGGCCGTCACATTATAACGCCCCTACAGCTGAAAGGGCGAGCATGTTTGGTGTGACGGGGATTCGAACCCGTGACCCTCAGACTGCGAGTCGAGCGCCATAACCACCTGGCCATGCCGGACCCTAATTAGTAATTTTACTGCTCATTCTGAAGTTCTCTGTACGTATACTATCTGGTTATTAACATATAAAGATAATTTGACTCGCTTTGTTAGTTTTTATCTGGTCATCTAACTGATAAAAATACGAGCATAAATGAGCCGAAAAACACTCGTGTCAAAACAACCATGCAGGAATTTGATTTTCATAAAATTTTAGAATGAACATAAAAACAATTGCCTATATCATTATTTCCTTTTTTCAGAGACATGACGGACTTTTATATCGAAAACATTGTAGGGAAATGAATAAAATAAAATGTATTATAATATATATACATTACTCATGACAAATACTTCTATTATATATTTCGATTTATAGTAGACATGGTATAGATGTCGCTTGAATGCCAAAACCTATTGGTTTTTGATCAAAGGAATATATATATATATTTCTACATTTTGCATATCGTATTACCAAGATATTTATCGTCGAAAAGAAGTTGCGATTTAGTAACTGTAATCGCTACTGTGTTATATGTTTAAATTATAATAGTATTAAACTGTGGTGTTAACTAAAGTTAACGATCGTTCAAACATAATCCCAGCTGTTAGCTATTCTATACATAACGATATGATTATTTCAGTGCGATAAATTTCATACAGATGAACGTATTGTCTTGGAAAATGGG